TTTACTTTTTTTTTTATATTTTTCACTTGCAGCCGACTGTATTTGCTCTTTATTTACGTGACATTTAAATTGAAGCTAGTTTTTTTATTTTAATTGCCTCGGCAGCGAGTTCGCTGCGGGATTCAAGAGGCGTGGATCAAGAGGCGCTTCTCTGAGAGTTATTTTGGGTGGTAGGCATACACGTAAGAAGATAAATTGATATTTTGAACTTGCAAAAGCAAGTATATTTGCAAGCTCGAAAAATGTTGGGACATGTCTCGAATGTAGGATTATTTATGATCGCGAATAAAACACGTGTATTCGCTTATCGCACGGTCTTAGATTTGGCGTCGAGTTAATGCAATGTACCAGACTTTTATTAATTAAATGATAACACCTGCCACTTTCGCAAAAAGCAATTTTTCGACGAGGCGGATTCGTTTATACCAACTCCCCCAAATCCTTGCATGATGAGTGAAAGTGCGAGTAAGCCTTTAATCTTAAATAAAAGTTATGTACAAAAACTAACCCACTTTAAACATTTCAAAAATAAAATCATTGCCGCATAATAACAAAGAGTAGTAAGAATTTTATCATTAGCCAATGTCATGGAAAAAAAGCACTCTGGACAGCAGCTGAACACACAAGTAGTCTCTGCAGGCTCATCATCGTTGTCGAGTGCACACATGTACAGTGAAAGAAAAAAAAAAGAGATAATACAAACCACAGCACGGTAACCCCCTCCCCTCGCCTACCCCAAAGTAAGGCGCACTTGAAGAACTCGGCGAGTCTTTGTGTCCTTCGGAGATACACGCGGCACGGCACAATGGTGGCAATGTGTAAATTTATGCACTCTATCGTCACCGACTGCTAGTTTAGTTGTATAGGTCGACTGGCCCCCGTAAATTACGCCTCGCCTCATTGAATTTCGTGTCTTTGCGACACGCCGTATAGGACGAATGATGATATAGTCTTTAGCGTATTGCAAACGCATGAGCACTCGCTTTTACGGAAGGGAGACCAAGTTCTTATAGTGTATAATACATTTTTATCCACTCTAGCGATTAAGTCGTAGACAATCAGGCATCTGGTATATAAAAACATACTGTTATGGACATGCTATACTGATATTTCAATCGATCAAGGACCCATTTTCATTGTGTTATTTTTGGTTTTTCATTAACAACTTATGTGATCGGATGTGAACTTGCAAGCTGTGTATGCGTGAACGTGGAACTACTAAAAAGCATAGCATTATACGGATTATGCGGATCTTATGCGCCGTGATGCAAATAAAAATCAACGAGAGCTTAATTTTATTTACAAATCAGATGGTGCTAATCCCTAATCAAATAGAAGTATTATCGGTTGTAAGTATACATGCAACTATGAAAAAAAGTAATTCATCGCAGTAAAAGCTGAATGACTCAAACACGCACATATTTCAAGTTTAAACGCTTCCTAAGAGGCGGCTGAAAATGTCTTTCAACGCCAGTCCTCCATAAATCTATGGCAAGGCGACACTTTGCGAAACATAATTCAAATGTCGTTTCTCGACTATACGAAGCCACAGAGCCTAAACATTGGCAGAAAAAAATCTAGTGAAATGGCGAAAAGTATTGGCGCCGAAATCTTTGAAGTCATCGGCTTTGGTATTGTAGATGCCACTTCCGTTAGATATCACATTTTCGGTAGCATAGAAAAAGAAAGAGAAGTGCATTTACTACTTTTAAATGAAAAAAAAAGGAACAAGAAATAAATAAAAACGGAGAATCGAAATTCGGGTTGAAGCAGATGAGAATATTCACGGGTGCATGCTTACAGGCCGGATGACTAAAAAATGTCCTTTCGAGTATCCTTTTATATGCAAGGCATTCTAAGCTGGGGGTTTTAAATGTAGTACGATGCATGCGGCGCTCCTGCACTCGGCAGTATATGGTACGTGAGCCAGCAGCAGCAGCAGCAGCAGCAGCAAAGAACAGAGAGCAGCGCGCAGCAACGGAAAGTCTCCCATGATCGAGCGCGCGACCTCCTGCATGTATTTTAAAAGTGCACAAGATCGTGCGTGAACGGTGAGTAAGCTCATGCATAGAGAGGATAGTAAGAGGAGGGAGCTCTCGTATACGCTATGGTAGTTCGTATCCGTGCAGTGAAAGATGTGAATAACAGCAGCCGCCGGTGGATTTATCTTGCGCAATAAAATGAGCTGCGGCAGCGAAGGCAGTCGGCAGCAGCATTGGGTGTCGTCGATTTTATATAATTGCTTTCGAATGTGTGCGTGTGAGCGCTTACACGTACATGTGTATATAATGCAGCATACAACAGAAAGCGAGACGTAAAGCTTTAAATTATTAGGCGCATCGACGTACGCATATGAGAAGCGATTGAAAATTCAAGCATGACGCTTGAGGGGCTTTTCGCTGTCTTTTTTCCCCAACTCGGCATTAAACGCTGCAGTAGTCTCTCTCGCGCGAGCACAGCGAAGATGAGAGAGCTTTCTCTTATTTGCTGATTTATTATCGCGAGACCGAATCGCTTATATATGTGTAGAAATATTACAAGCGTGTAAATGCCAAGGATTCCCTTTATCGTGCGAGAGTAGGCAAGAGAGCCAGAGGATCGCGACCCATACGCATGTGCCTCGAAGCTTTTATTTTTCTTTCATAGATTCTACCGAACATTTTTCATGTTCCATACCGCATATATATTCGTGCACACGCCAGCGATACGAAAAATAATCTACAGCTATGCCATGGAGCCACATACCCGAGTACGAGCTGGCGATATTGCTAAGCAGCGGACCGACATAGTCTCGTAATAATTGTTTGATTTAATCGTTGGGGCATTTATCAGATGGTAAAATAGCGTTATGCGTCAGCGGCAACAACCTGTAATATATACACAATGAGAGAAAAGTGAGGAATTCGCGTATTACATACAACTATATGTGCATAGCGATACACGCTTGGCTGCGTGTATAGGTTTATCTAAATTAATGTTTTCGCCAATACTTGGGATAAGTGCGTAAATTGCGATATTTTCTTTCTCGTTGCGATTACCTACAGCTGAGGCGCTGTACACATTTGTAACGGATAAGCTCGTTCTGGTGGAAAATGCGCCTTCCATCGACTTATTTATATTATGCATTTACGATTGAAACGATGAAATATTGAAAGGATTCGAGAAAAAAGACTACAATGAATGGCTTTTTGCATAGCCCCAACTTGGTAAATCATCAAAGGCATTCTTCTGTTCCCTTACATTTTCATTAAAATCCGTGCGATACAAGTTTAACTAGCTAATAAGCCAATAAAATGTGTTTATTAATCCAAAAGAATTTTATCAAATCCGACCGTTAATCAATTATCATTTTTTTATTAATTCGTGCACGCAGAAAGAAAATTATTACGTCAATGATCTACGAAGCAAAATCTAGTATAATTTTAAAATTTAGCTTGCTTATAAACAAACAATCGAGATAGTACCTATGCCTGCGGAGTGTTTACGCGGTACGCGGCGCTTCATCATCGCGCGAGACGGTGGATGCATTTCAGCGGCGGCGCGCGACTGCCTGTGGCTGAACAAAAGCCCCATAACCCTTATGAAGCAGCGTTTATCTGTATAAGTGCGAGCGCGGTGGATATGCATGCACGCTTACATGTGCACGCGCGGTAGCATCCAGTAGTTAGTGTGTAAAGTAAAGGTGCGGGTAAAACTATAAGCTGGTGCGATAGAGAGAAAGAGAGTGAGAGAGAGAAAAGAGCCGCTACCACTACGAGAGTTGCCCCTCTAATTTCGACGTAATTTCCTCATAAGAGAATCTGACTTGTGCTTGCCGACGGAGGGCCACCAGCCCGCCGTCCGTAATAATCGTATACATGCATGCATAATTCTTCTGTCTTTCTCTTATTCTCGACTACTGCACTGTCGGTTCTGAAGCCGGAAATGCGTATGTGTGTATGTTTGCTTTTGCTAGTCGTCCAATGGGCACACGTACACGTACACACACGAGAAAGATACCGAGTTTCCAACACAACATATGTGCGTGTTTCAGATCGGATACACTGTGTAAGTTTTTCATAATGCGCCTCCCGCGTGACTACTCATAGCTTATGCTCTTTCTCTCTATCTATCTCTCCCTCTTTGTATCATGATAATAAAGACGACTTTTATGAGAATTTTATCTACGTATACATTTTGCACGGTAGAACCAAAAATTTTGAGCTGATAAGTTGCCGCGTTACGATGAAGTGTGAAAAAAACTATTATGTGCGCGGTGAGTTTTGGTATATAATGCAGAGCTTTCATTACGATGAAAGCGCTCCTTCAGTACTCGGCTCGCAAAAATTCTAGTAGCAAGATAATTTTGAAACAGCTATAAAACACAGCTATGGGTATCATCTATAGGTTTAAACACCTTCAACGCTGATAACAGACTACTACAATGTAATTTCCAATCGACACGATGAATATGATGTAACATCTGCAAAAACTATCCGAGACGCGCTCGTTCGATACAATGCCCTCGTTCAATCGGCCACCGATTGATTTTCAGCTTAGATCGGCCGTTCATTCGGAAAATTAGACAAAGAAAAGCTTTAAAAATCATGAAGATCCAAATCCGTTGGCAATTATTGACTTTGCAAGACGGGCGGCGTTTGAAATAATAAGATTGATTCATTAAGTTCAATATCACGTTCAATGACGTCGGGCTGGAACTGAAACGTCGACTCATTGGATAATCTAATTTCTATTAAGGCTTATCGTGAAGTACGTATCATCTCAAGGGCAACTCGCGTCGCTTGAACGAGTTCATTGAGAAATTCGCGACTCCCGCATATACGCAGTCGACGGCCCGCAACCATATTCGCCCTTATCGCACTACTCGAATCGGTGAAAACGTACGTAAACGAACGAGAACGCGTAATTCATGGTTTTTTAGATAGAAACGAAAAGAGCCATTTTTTTTACTAATATATGCAATGTTCATGTACAAGGTGGAAAAAGATCTGGTGGCTCACCTGTATGAGGTGGGCAAGAAGCAGGACGTAGGCAACGGCCGCCCTCATGGCTTCCCTCGTTGATCCCTCGACTACCGCATATCACTATCCTGCCACTAATCTTGACGTGGCCTGTGCTCGCAACACCGGCCACAGCTCCGAATTCTTAGCCACGAATCAGCGGGCTAACGAAAAACAAAGCGTTGCGAATCCTTAAACTTTTGTTTGTTGGGCTTTGTAACTTTGTTGACCCTTATAACTTTTCACTATCTGTTCACTTTTTCAAAACAATCACTCTTGGAACGCTCAACACTGAACTTTAAGTATGCTTCACCCGTCGGGCTTTCAGCTTAACCATCTTTTTCTTCGTTGCACTTTTAAGCTCTCCTACCGGCACTACAGAAATACAATCGTATGAAATACGGCGCACTATTATATAGCATCCAAAAAGCACTTGCACTTGTTTTTTATCTCTTTGCGAGGACTTTGGGGGGCTGCTGTCCCGATCGCGAGGCGCGAAGCGCAACAGGTGCGAATCTTACAGAGGTACCTACGAATCCGGTAGCTCTTATCACACTGCACACACTCACGAGGATGCACCTGTCCGGCTCACTGGCTACGTTATTATTTTTTTTCCAAGTACGCGCACAATTGCACTCTTTTTCTTGGCGCGCACAGTAAAAGCTTCCGAAGACTCGTGTAATGTACCTGGCCGCCAGTTAACACCGACTGCAGACGCGTATATTCACTAAACTCGCGCTAACACACACACACTCAACGTGTTGGTATGCGGCAGACTTGAAAAATGTTCAAGCTCTCTCACGATCCCACGAGCTGTTTTTGAGCGCAGTTTAGTCGCTCCACTTCGACTTTCTGTATATTACATATACATAGGCTAGAGAGAGAGAGAGAGAGAGAGAGAGAGAGAGAGAACGGCGTCGGGTCTCGATCCGTTCACCTTTGGATGCTGCGCTGACTGCACGAGCCGCGGCAACAGCAGCAGTCGCGAATGTTGCGACGTTCTTCTCTCTCACTTACTCCTCGGCAAAGGCTCAGCAGCGCGATTTACCGGCGAAGGTGATATTTTCCCCACACTCTGCAGCAGACGCCGATCGAAGATAACGCGATGCAAAGAGTGTGTTTAGCTGCGCTGCCGCTGGTGCATATACATGCACACGTTCTCTCTCCGTGGAGCACACGACGACGCTGCAGCAGCGAAACTCTCGCCGCTCAAAGCCTCTATGAAAGAGAGAGAGAGCGAGAGATGTGCACTAAAGCGACGACCTGACCTGGAGAACTCGTGACCCCTTCCTCTTCTAGGCAGAGCTTAGAGATATAAGGCACCCGTCACTGTATGGAGCACGAGAAAGAGAGGAAAATACATGCGTTGCAGCACTTACGGCTCTATGCTATTTTCATGCACCGTGCGATGTTACGATGACGATCGAGTCAAGTCCGTGTCTGTCGATCGAGCGCTGTTTTCAATGAACGAAGCTAGATCGATAACAAAAATATTCACTCTCTCGATGCTGCACCATCAATATATCAATTTATTAATTTTTGCTCTTCGTAAAAAAGACAATCGCACTGTGTCGCACTGTGTCGCACTGTGTCGCACTGTGTTGTCACGAGCACTTATTTTTGACGAATCGATGAATGAACTCGAGGCGCAAGTATACGCACGAAGCTTTGCGCGCGTACTGTGCAGTCTCGCTGCTTTCTGCGATACACAGGCACGTATACGACTGCGTGCGTTACGGACGGAACAGTCTCCGGTGCTTGCTCGAGGGATACTGACTGGTAAGAGCCGCGGGCCGGCCTGCGGGCCTCCCCTCCGCTTTCGCGTATATTTACAGCGCGCTTCACGCCAAGCAGCAGCAGCAGCAACGACCGACGACGACGAGCCTGTCTCTCTCCCACCTTTCGACCTCTCCGCATCATCCCATTGCCAAAGGGGAATACAAGCGAGAGAACGAATCTTTCTCTTTTTCTCGCTTGCTCCGATCTGCAGACTCCGCTCTCGACTCTGCGCCAGCGAATTTGTGCAGCTCCAACGTATCTCGTCTACGTGTGTATATAACACATAGACGCATTCGCATACTCAAGCATGGGTAGAATTCTTTTAATCGATACCACTCATATCAGTGTAGCGAGAGAAAGAGAGAATGAGATTTTTCGGCGACTCGGGAAACTTCGGCTCAGACGATTAGGGTGGTGCCTTGGCTCTTCGCCAGATTCTCCGAGAGCTTTTTACTTTTTATTCGCGGCGTAAGAAGTTATATTCGATATACTTAGGGGTTTCCGCAATAATACAATTTTCATGACTCGTACGCGCGGAGAAAATAATTTTAACCCCAACAGAATTCGTGTACCCAATGTTGAAATAAAATTTCTCTATAATCAATTATTTCAACTGCATGAGTTAGAAATTTTTAACTCAATTAAAAATAAAATGATAAAATTATAACCGACTTTGCGGCGCAACAGATCAGCACGAAGATGCCAACAGAAAAAGAAGTAGAAAAAAAAGTTCTCCGGTGCAACTAATAACCTTATAGAATGATTGACGAAACAAGTGAAAGAAGTCAAGTACTCGCATAGTTATGCAGGCGTCAGACTACATCGAGAACAAGAGTCAGGAGCGCGCGAGAAGCAAGACGGAAAACATTGCGAGATGAAGAATCACAAAAGAGAGAAAGGCGGCCCGTTTATATATATGTACATATATATGCAGTATACACCAGCACCTATTGCGGACTCCGACTTGTCTGTGTCTCTCGCACGTTTATGCAGGCTCACGCTGTGTCTACGAGCTATATACTCGGGGCTCTACGCAGAAATACGTACACATACACACACGTATTATATATGTATGCAGCACCTATATATTTACAGCTATAAACACCATCGGTGCTTACTATAACTTTGCTAGAGGAAAAGTTGCTGCAGCCCAAGGATAATCGATTCTCAAGTTTCGTTAATGGCTGCGTGAACTCGTAAAAGCGTTGGGCGCACGACGAAAATCTTCGCCGCTACACAATCGGGCAGGGCTCAACACATGCCCTTCCGTCACGAACAGTGGCGTGCCAGTGGCATTCGAGAGATGCCTTATAACACAAAGCTCGAACACAATAAAAGGAGCCGCGACGATCATCGGAGCCTGCGCGCACGCCTCTAACCAGCTCAAAAAGGACGAGGCAATAATATGCAAATTCTAATTGAACGCAGAGTCGGAGAAGAGAAAAATCTGCGCGCTACGTGCTCGAGAAAAACAGAGGCACACTTATAACTACTGTACTATACTATACGGGCACAATAGCATCGCTTTCAGGAGCGCGTCGATGATCGTGTTGTATGGCATAATTTCTTTGCTCTAACGTTATTGAGAGTTGCGGTCGCAGTTTAATATACGGCGAGGAGTAATCTCTCGGTTCACCTCGCGGGTAACTGATCAGACACACAGGTCGAGAGTGTCAGGCTTGCAGAAATTGAGTATTGGCGCAGTCGAGTCGATTGGCGCATAACACTGACGCCCTGTAGCCGCCCTTATATAGCAGCGACTCGAGCTCACATTGACAAACGCCGAGCGTTCGAAGCGACCGAATGTGTGTAATATAATGACCGAGGACACGCGACAGGCCAGCCTTATCCATTATTCATCGAACGCACGAAAATTATTCTTTGCCCAAAATGCACACACACACACATGTACACGCGTACAAACACAAGCAAGCATCTATCGTATACATGCTCGAATGTGCGAGAATATTTTTGCAGATGTCAGTGGCAGTGCAGGGCAGTCTCGAGATAACCGCTCGTGCAGCGTCACAAATTACCCGCGAGACTTCTTTATTTTCTTCTTATTCTCTCGTTCGTATATGTATACACACACGGCGCGCCCGGCCAGTCGTATACATAATATATAATACTCGATATTTGTACGTGCATCACTTCTGCGCGCACGACTAGCCTATAGCCGGGAGGACAAATTCGAATCGTATTTAGGGTACACATGATTGGGCTTCTACCGGGTAACTTTTATAACTGTATAAACGGAGTCACGGGCCCGGCAGCATCTCTACATTACGTATATAAATAATTTATTCGTCGTGCAACTGCAGGTATGCACCCGTAAATGAGAATCATACGACCTCAATTTTTTTACGGGTATTATGAACGATCCAGCCAAAAAAAAAAACGTGACTTGTATAATTTTTAGATGGCCACGCGTATTATACTGTCTTCTTATTAATATGAGCATCGATATATGCGTATTTATAGCGTATAACCGGTAGAGAGATTCGATTCTTTTAATTACGGGCTCGATGGCTTTCGTCGGCGCGACCGTTTACTGCACTTGCTGCGTCTCCGGTTCTCGTGCGGATTGAGTCATTGGATTAGCATAATTTCGATAATATTTTGACTCGCAACAAAAAAAGGAAGACACGAAAAGTTTTACTTTTTAAAGTGATTCCAGAACTTGCAGCATGCAAATTAATCATTTTCGTATGGAGATGAATTGCTCTGCGATTCGTTCCCATTCAATAAATCGACTCAGGGTCGTTTAATGACTCGTTATATGCGCAGGCGTTAAAAATAAAGAATGCATTTGATCGCGAGTCCCTAATTATTTGGCCAGCTCGGTACTATCTCGCTCCGATAAATTGCCAATGTGCTCCGCGTCTTAAAGGTTTTTTCGCCGACCGAAAATTCCCACCGAGCAACGCATCTTAGTAGGGCCCTTTCTGCCTTGGTTAAAAAAAACTGCGCGCAGTTCTCGGTGCGGTTCAAGGTATGTGTGTACATTTATGTACACACGTACACACGCACACTCGCAGAGCGTTGAGAAGCTATGAAGAAAACGAATGAGTATAAGTAAGTAAGAGAGCTCAAACCGATATCGCCTCTCCTTATAGCTTGGCTTCCCTCTCTCCCTCTCCGGCTCTTTCTCTCTTTCTCTCTTTCTCTCTCTCTCTCTCTCGGCGTCTGTCTAAAATCGCGATTTCGTCCTTATCCATGCAGTCAGACTGCAGTCAGAGGCTGGCATGCGGCAGGCATGAGGCAGGCTCGCGCG